GTGTGTGGTTTTCTAGATGTGGTCAAGGAGGGAGTACTGAATGAACAGCAGTCGCTGCTACACCTGGTAATTTACCACAGGATGCTCATAGCCTTTGCTGCTGCCAGGACTCACTACTGGTTCTGCTTTAGCTTGCTATCTCCCAAGGAGCCCATCACCTTTTCAGCTGAGTAGCTTCTCATCCTGCAGTGTTAAAAGGAATTCATCTCAGGTGCCTTTGCCCTTGCTTGCTTCCATGAGGCTTCTGTAGGCCCAGTCTCATCTGTCAAGGTTCCTTGGAATGGGGCCCTGCCCTCCATCAACTCTAGCTTTGTTCTGGGGCTGAAATGGCTACCAGCTGTCTCCAGGAAACACTGGACAGATAGACAGATGACTTACTGGGTCATGTGCTTTGGGTGGGCCAAGTATTTTACTGCCAGTGAAGGCCTATGCAGGTTACATTGCAGGCTGTTGTCCCTTTTGAGGTCAGACTTTATCAGTCATCTGAGGTTTTTGAGGAACTTAATAGACACTGACCGATTTGTAGGATTAGCTACCAAGGAGAGTAACTCTGAATTCCTGTTGCACACAATTTCTGGCAGTGACTGTGCAAGAATGGAAGAAACATCTTTTTGTTTGTGTATTAACCAAAGTGTTAAGTACATCCAGCAGTTCCACACAGTGCTGACTAGGTTTGAAATACCCACTGTTTCTTGCATGCTGTGAACATAGAGCTGGTTCTTGTGCTGTCCTTCCTGGTCACTGTTTAGTGAAATGCAAAAACTAGAACTTGCTGAGTTACCCTTGCATAAATCAGGGGTTTCTTTCTTATTTTACTTTCAGGCATACCCAGAATATCTCATTACGTACCAGATTGTGAAACCAGAAGCTCCCTCACAGACAGCAACAGCAGCAGAACAGAAGACCTAGTAGCTTCAGAGCAGTGGAGAAGGATGTGACTTCAATCTTGGACTGGATGGATACATGTTTCAGAAAATCAGTATCACATAAAATTCTTAACAACCTGGAAATAAGCTGTATGTCTTAAAGTATTGCTGTCTTGATGAATATGATAATGAGTAACTCTTGCATACTCAACTGCTACTGTTCCTCTTGAGGAAAGTTTACAAGGGACTGCCTTTTAATAACATATCTCAGGCTCCTAGTCTCTGCAGATACCATGTGTAAAATAATATTGTTTTGATCTAGACCTTGGGAACATTATTGTGCAAATGGAAATCTTTATTGCTGCCATCTCACATGTTAAAATTTCAGACACTACTTTTCTAGTTATTTTATTTGCAGATAAATTACATTAAGCTCATCATTTTCTTTTCAGCATACACCATTCATTTCCTGTTTTCAAGAGATCCTATTTATTCTCCTTTTGTATTCTGAAGTTGAGCCAGAACTTTCTTGAAAATATTTTGCACAAAGTCAAGTTGACTAAAATCATTAACAATGCAATATCAATTTCATCTGAGGAGGGGCTAGGTCAAGTTATTCAATATAGGGGTTTTTTTGCACACCTCTGAGCAAACAATAACATGAGTGAGTGTAACTTTGGAGTGGAAACAAACTATGTCAGTTTGCTGCCTTGTCTGTGTGAGTTTTCTGGGGGAAGCCCTGGGAAGTGTTTGCAAGGGTAGAACCAGCTCTTGTGCTTAGAAGAACTTCATGCCCTCTTCTGGCATCTAAAAGAACATTTTATAAGGCTCCTGTTAAGTACAATGCAGCTTTTGAAATGTTCTCCAGTTACAGCAGGGTATGGTTTGCTGGGAGAAGCAGGTGAAAAGTCAGAAGACTTCATACAGGAGGGTGTATCTGGTTCATGTCCCTCTGTAAGATGATACCCCGTAAATGGGTTTTGGGCTGGTAAGGGAGAGTTATTACAGCAGTTTCCTGTCACATCTTTGTGTGTGACATCACAGTTGAAGAGCTCAAGGGATTTACAAAAGTAATAATTTTTTAAAATATCAATTTTACATTTTGATGAGAACAAAATTTTAAAGTATCAGTTGGCAAGCAGATTTGTTTGCAGGTATACCAGAGAACAAAGTTAGGATTTATTCACTTAATACCCTTCTTCCCAAATTCCCAGGTTTATTTGCTGGGTAGGAGAAAGTTATTTTTAAGCATTGCATAGCACAGCATCAAACAGTTTCAAAAGTCCCCCTCATGGTGGATATGGATTTAACAAAAGTAGAAACTGTTTCTTTTTTGTGGTGTTTTACAGTTTCAGAGAAGGTTGAAGATCAAGACTTGTTAATTTTTTTCCTAACAACCAGTACCAGGAGATGTGCTTCAGTGTTGACCATGTAACATCTGGAGGAAAAATGTTCCTTTGGACACAACATGTGGTACATTATCCTATCAACCAGCACTATCTGATGATCCAGTTCATGCATTCAGGTTTTATCCCCCTTAAAGCAAGAAAGCAACAGAATAGTGTGCTCTTAGTTCATAAAAATATACGTGCTCCCCAGAAATGGGATTTTGCTAACACGTTTGTATAAAACAGACTTAATCCTGAAGAGCATTTCACTTTCAGCATTAAGACACAACACTTTTATTTTTAATGGTAAGGCATTAATGTTGAAGCAAGTCATCCTCACAAGAAGTAATCACCAGTAATCACCCACTGTAAAATCAGTCATTTGATGCAATATGGCTACCTGGACATCATCTCTTTGTAATATCTCTAAAGGATACCTTAGAAATAGCAATACTCCAACAGAACTTGAACTCTTACTTTTCTTGAGCTGACAGTGGATATATGGTTCTCGCTTCATTTTGTGACCTGATTAAATATGTAGCTTTGAAGTCCCAGCCAGGCTCTAGCCTAGTTGTCCTTTTAAACAAGTTTCATTGATAAAATTGGGTGCTTGTATTTTGGCTACTCGTTTCATAGTGTTAGAGGATTGCAAAGATCACCACTAGGCTTTGAAGCTTTGTATTCACCATTGAAGTTTGGGGTTTGTTTTTCATTTAGTTAATAAGGGTGTGAGGGCATGTGCCTATCTGCTCTAGGGTTTCAGATAGCAACCAGAGTGAGTGCTGCTCTCCATCCCCAGTTAGACATAGTTTTAAATGGTGAAACAGCTGTGCTGCTTAGGTGAACAAAATGGTTAATGTGGGTGTGAAAGTTAAAACTTTACATCTTTCATAAACAAGAACAAATCTAAAAAGGAAAGCCCCACCGAGCCCGCACCGGATGCTGTTCTTGCTTGTTGTTTCCTATGTGCTGGTTGAACTAATGGCTAGGCAGGATTCCTTTTGCAGCCTGAAACTTCTAGAAGATAAAAATAGCCTGGAGGAGACTGAGGGGAGACCTCATTGGGGTTTTCAACATCCTCACGAGAGGAAGTGAATGTGCAGGTACCAATATCTTTACTCCCATGACCAGTAACAAGACTGGAGGAAACAGCATGAAGCTGAGATTAGTAGGGAGATTTAGGTTGGGTATTAGGAGAAAGGATTTTCACCCAGAGGGAGCCCAGGGAAAGTGGTCTTAGCACCAAGCCTGATAGAATTCAAGAAGCTTTTGGACAACACTCGGGCACATGGTGTGACTCCTGGGGCTGTCTTGTGCAGAGCCAGGAGTTAGACTCAGTGATCCTGATGGGTCCCTTCCAACTCAGCATATTCTGTGATTCGACTTTCCAGTATCTTTGAACTGCCAGTGTTAATGTTTCTGATGTTCTGTGCAGAGTAAAGGTGCTGTGTGAGGAAATCATTTTGCAGTGGTTTTTGTCTCGTAATGACGTGAGCTCATATCCGTTTGTGGCCAGACACAGAGGAGTACCCAGGCCTGATGATGCATCTGTGTGTTGCAGACACCTATGCAGGAGTAGCATATGCTGTCATAGGTGCCCTTTCAGTTCAAAACAAAGTGAGGATTGCCCATCAATACCAAAGTGACCCGTTGGTAGTGGTTGTGGTGCTTTTGGCAGGCTGTTAACGGTACGTACGCTGCTGCTTCAGCTGGGGGAGTTAACTACAGTGGGACCTTACAAATACTGTGACCCCATAACCAGGCAGGTGCTGCCTCCTGAGAAACGAAGTTTTTGACCTCCTGAGAAGAGCAGTCCCCTGATATGGGGATGCTCATTTTGCAGCATTGGATTACCAGTGGAAGGCACAGTAGGAGCTGAGGACGTAAAAACACTGGGCTAAGCCCTCATAGGCTTGGGAGACCAGGGACAGAACTTGGTGTCTGCTGGCACCAGGGACAATGTGTCTCTCAGGCCTGTTGATCTTTGTCAGTGTCCCTTTGAGGCAGCATTTTGGACCTTCTGTGTAGTTTCGCAACAGGACCTTAATAGGCAAAACAGAAAGAAAAGTCACCTCCTAATAAAGGAGGGTTCTGCTCTCCACTGCTGAAACTGTTTCCATGAGACTGATGACTTAGATAACTGGTGCAGAGTCACACTGCATTCTGATTGCTGTCAACAAAACTTTTGTTAGGATTAAAAGCAGACAGTACAGTACCTTAAAAAGGTATATTTTATTTTTTCATTCTTATTTTTATCTACCAATTGTGTTTGATCCCAGCTCCATAGAGACTGTTACAAACCTCTTATACTAGTTCCACCATGTGGCAGTCACTATTGGTTTTTTAACCTCTGTTTCAAGTGTTTGCATGAGATGCAATTGAATCCCACTGCATTATGTAGCAGGAATTTATTTTGTCTGCAAACTTAAGCTTTGCTTGTTTATAATGGGAGTACCTCAAAAGAAAATTCTACACTGAAGCGGAGAGAAAACCCTGCAAAATGTTGTGCACTGTTGGCTATGGTGGCCAGCAGACACAGAAAAGGGATGTGGCATATGGGAGGGAGTAGCTCCTGGAGAAAGGCACTTTCTTGGCTCTGGAAACCAGCTGCTCCTGCTGTTTGTTCTAGGTTCGAGGAGGGGTCTGCTTCCCGTGAATGTGTGAGGTGCTGAGGGATGCAAGCATGTTGTGCCACTGCATCCCTCCAATGGCATCAGTTTCTGCACAGTTCATGCACTGCCTGCAATTTCCATGTGGGACTGCTAACAGAAATTGCCCTGAACAGGATTTTTCAAGATGGGTAAAAAGGAAGGGTCCAGCCACAAAACAGATTAGTTTGAACATTGCTAATCATTCTCAGCTCAATGCCAGGAAATGTGTGAATTTATTTTCAGTGGGATTTCTCTGTTTCCATGCTGATTTGCTACAGAAAGGCTAGCTCAGAAAAACAAGAGGAGGTGCATCTAATGCATGCTTCAGGTATGTTAAACTGAATATTTGTGCCACATTGTAAGCTGTGCTGCAGCCTGCATAGGGAACACCTGGGAAAGCACATCCTCAGTTCTTATCTCATGTAGCAACTGGCTTGTGAACTTCCACAGACTTGAATCCATTGGTGATCAGAGGTGGTGGCTTGGCACAGTCCCAGAGCATGTTCTCCTGGTCTTTCCAAGAGTGGCAGGACAGATGTGCAGAGAGGGAGCAGCAGTGTTCCCACCTCTCTCAACAGAGAGTAGATGTGAAACCCAGGGGATTGGGGAACACTTTATATGTGTTAAAATCTGTGAAGCAAGGTGATGAGCCTGGGAATCTGTAGGGGACATGGGAAAGCAGATGGATTTCCATTACACTGACACATATGCCTGTCAAGTCACATTATCTGGCTGGTTTTTATGTATCGGTCTTGCTGAACGTGTTGGTGGCAAGTTTTAGTGCTGGTCCCATTAATTACTAATGTAGATTATTAGAATCTCTGTTATTACAAGAAAATTTTGACACTTTCTTAACATCTGCAGAACTTGCTTCAGCTTTGGAAATTGAAATGGGGATTTTCTGTGCTGCGGTCCCATGAGTTTGTGCTTTGTCATTCCTAATTGCTTTCTCTGGCAAGCCACATGGCAATGTAGCTGGGGGTTGAATTTCTAGACCTTTTTTGTGTAACTTGTTTTCATAACTACCCCTGTATTTGTCCTCTCTTGGTTGCCAATTACCTGGAGCTGGGATATCATTTATTTATTTCTTCTTTTACCTTCTCTCTCAAAGTTGAAGACAATGGGCAGTTTCTCAGCCTACCTACATGGTGGACTTTAGGTAACATCTCTGTAACAACTGAGTTTGATCTATAAGTGTGCTTGGCTAAATGTCTGATCTGCAATACCTGTAATAGTTTAAAAGTCAATAAATACATTTTTAACAGTTGCTCTGTGAAAATGGAATGTGTGCAGAACCTGCTGCTCTGTCTTGGTTTTAGGACAAATTTGCTCCAGCCAAACTGTTGAAAACAGTTTTATTTTTATTTTCTCCAAACAATGTTTTCTCCCTCCCTCAGGCAATAAATAAAAAGTTAATTTCTAGAAAAAAAAAAAAAAGGAACAAAACCATACATATGTACATCAGCCACACAGGCATCTTGTGTGTTGGACTGGGCTGGAGGGAAGGACAGAGGTAGGGTGGGAAATAAGGCTCCAGGTGGGTTGAAGATGAGGCATTTTCAAGGCTTGGGCCAAAAGCTGCAGAAATGTTGCACAGGTGAACAAGACTCAGCACAGGAAAAGGGCTGGTCATGAGGTGGGAGAAGCTTGAAAATGGTGGATAAATGACACCTCTGGGCCAGCCTGTCCTCCACCCCACAGCTTCTCTCTTCCATTATGGCCCACCCATGTCCCTTCCCGCTACTTTTGGAAGAAGAGCAGCAGTGGGACCGGTGAAGAGGAAACTGAACAGAGTAATCAAAAGCAGCCCAGACTGCTGCCCCAACCCCTTCTTTCTCATCTTAAAGCCACAGGAGATTGGACCTAAGTTTTCTAGAAACCAGTGATCCACAGGGGCAAGAAAAGAGGCATTTAAGACTACATCTCTCCCTCCAAACCACTTCCCAACCACAAAGATTACTCTTCCCCTGGAATAGGCTCAGCTGGTGATTTAGCAGGTGCCTGCCAGCTCCTGCCTCATCTCCCCAGCCACTGGCAGGGCTGAGGTTGAGTGCAGGCAGCCCTGTGCCACCACTCCTGCTCGCCCCAAGGCCCTGCCTGCAGCTCTGCTTGTCCAAAGTGTACCTGGCTCAGGTAAGCAGCACCCACCACACACACCAAGGTGTCTCTGCAAGAGGGAAGGCTGCTGCACAACAAAAACAGGGAATGCTCCCTTGTCAACCTAGATGAGCTGGGACCAGAAACATGGGGAGAAGGGGAGGTGTAAAAAACAAGACAGTAAAATGGGGATGGAAACACGTGAAGACCAGGCACTTGAGGAAACCCAGTATACTATTTTGTTCCTCCCCCAAAGAGCCTGGACAATGTCAAGGTTTGTGGCTTTTACAACTTCGTGCTTTTAAAACATAACAATAAAAAGCAAACAAACCAAGATGAGGTAAGAAATTTCTCTACGAAAAAGATGGCGAGTCCAGGGTGAAGGGCAGTGTCCGGCACTATTGCTTAACATCACGGGGCTCGGCGCCCCTGCACGCCTGGCACTGCCGCCTGGCTGGCCTGGCCCTGAGCTAACAGCTGGGCGACGTGGTGATGGGGCTGTGCAGGTAGGGCAGGCTGCTGGGGGTGGCATGGACACCGACAGACACCGGGAAGCTGAAGACAAACTGCGAGGTGGGGGTGGAGGTGGCCTTGCCCCGCTCCCGCAGCGTCCCCGAGGGGCTGACGGCCTCCACCGCGTACGAAGTGGCCAAGACCTGCGACTCGAACTGCAGCAGCTGCCCCATGAAGCTGAAGTTGGGGGAGATGATGCTCCGGCGCTGCTTGACAAACTCGAAGGCCTCCTCTAGCTTGACACGCTTCTTCATCATCAGGTACGCCAAGCAGATGGTGGCCGAGCGGGAGATGCCAGCCTGGCAGTGCACCAGGACACGGCCACAGCACTCCTTCACTGAGTCTGGAGGGCAACAGGGGTGAGACGTGAGACCCACACCCTGCCACCACGGCCTGGCCCCTCACCAAACCTGCAGGTGGTGGCCGACCTCCCTCCCACCGGTGCCACCAGTGGACACAACATCTCTGCACAGGCACTCACCGATGAACTCAATTGCCTCCATGAACCAGGAGCTGATGTCAGCTTTGTGGTTGTCCTCCACAGGGATGCACTTGTACTGGTAGTGCCCCTCGAAGTGGTTGGGGCAGTCTGAGGAGACGTTCAGCAGGGCTGTGATGCCCAGTGCATCCAGCATGTCCCGCCGGGCTGCGTGGTAGGCGCTGCCAAGGTAGAGGAAGGGAAGGATCTCCACAGGCCCACCCTGTGACAAAGGAAAAGAACTGGTCGGCCAGGGGACAGTGGGAGGCAGGACACACATCCAGATGGCTCGGAAACATGGAGCTGTGTAGCAACCTGGCACCTGATCCAGGGCCCTCAGAAGAGGGAGCAGAGGCTGCCCTCCTGAAGCGCTAAACCTGTTTCAGCCCTTCCTCTCCCTCTCTGTCCTGTTTGGAAACAGGCAGGTGTGGGTTAACAGGATGTGGGCTTGTCCACTCTGTGGGGCACACAAACACCCTGGGCTTAGGAGGACCACCATGCTTTCCCATGAGAAGAAAGTAAGCAGGGCTCTGGCTCCGCAAGCCCCAGCTGAGGGAGAGCAGAGAGACTCCCATTGGAGCAGGCTGCAATGCTGGAAGGACAGTCAAGATAGCTGAGCACTGGGCTTTTAGACATACCTGGTCATGGAAGGGGGTCCCACAGGAACTGCAGCCCAGATCCAGGGGCTCAGCGCTGGTGGGGGGTGACACATTGCTCAGAGACTTGGTTTTTGCGCAGAATTCGGGGTACTCCGAGGAGAAGCGCTCATAGCCCCCTGCAAGAGGAGAGGCACCAAGTGTTATCCCAGACCGCATCCACAGCACTGCAAAATGCACAGCCGGAGATACCCTTGGCCACTAGATGATGCTACAGCGATGGAGAGTGGTCCCTGCCCCTGGAGGAGCAGTCGGGCTCTCGGCAGCAAGGGGGGATCCCTGAGGCCCCACCATTCCCTCGGAGCAAGAGCACCAGGAGCAATGATCTTGGCCACCCAAAGTCCCTGCTCCAGGGCTCGGTCCCCTGCATACTGCCAGCCAAAACTCCAGACTGGGGCCAAGGTTGCTCTCTGAGACAATGGAGAGAGGATTTATTTCCGCCATACTCGGACTTCAATGGGAAAAGCTGCTCTGAGGCCAAAGACTGTTCAGTTCTCGTTTTCCCTTGACACATTATTTTGTCACAAAAGACAGGCAGGTCTCCCATTCCCAGCTTGACCCTCCAGCTCAGAGCTCCCAAAACAATAGAGCAGAAAAGCCCTGGCTCTGGCCAGGTTCAGCCAAGCTGCCCTCTGAGAGAGGTGTCTGCTGCTTCCCAAGGACACAGGTGCAAACTGAACGTGGAGCAGCTTGTTCCTCTGCCCTGCTGCCAGGGGGATAAGCACAGGGGATGTCAGGGCTTTGTCATGTCAGTCAAAATGAGAGCGAATCCCGAGTTCCCAGGACAGGGAAACTGCAGTGTTGGCCTGCCAATAAACACTTCTGGTGACATTTCCTTCTCTCATTCAAATCAAATTAACAACCCTGATATCCTTGAAGGGTCTGACTTTGAGCCTCGAAATCAATGAAAATCAAGTACTTTACTATCACCACAGGACTCCAGCTGGATCAAGCTCTGACTCCCAGGATGGTTCCTGAAGACTCAAACCAGCTGCAGGACCTATGCCTGCAGATTTCAGCTTACCAGAGCATACAGCAGGACACATCCTTCTTATCCAGCCTTAGCTCTGAGACTGCCCTGAACAAGGCTGGATATTCAAAACAATGGGTGCAAGCGTCTCAAGCAGCCCAGGAATCCCCCACTGCCAGCATCCCAGTGTCCTTTGTGGCTTCCTCCCCCTACAAAAGGAAGGGCTCCAGTACCTTAAAGCAGATTTATCGCTGCATTTGCATTGTCCCTCCCACGCAGCCAGGACAGTTTGTAGAGGCTTCATTTCCCTGGCCTGACATCCCTTTACAGTCCTACTGCTTCGATTTGAAAGAGCATCCAAAACCAAGAGCCTTTGTTAGACAACTTCCAGGGATCTGGTCCTAAAATCCCTGGATCTACCACATCGCACTCCAGTGGTCATTACACCATGAGAGGGAAAAGCTGCCCAGGGTGATGGGCAGAAACATCTTGGAAATAATGGTTCTTGGAAAGAAAAAGAGAGCTTTTCAAATGCTTCTCTTCAATGAAACTCATCAGGTTCATTGATCCAGCAGCTCCTGGCTGTTCATGCCAGCCCTGCCCGGTGTAGAAGCCAGGCAGAGCAGGAGCCCATGGCCAAGCAGCCCCAGCCAGGCTGTTCCACAGGGAACCTGGCAGCAGCCTGACCTGCACAAAACACTTCAGGATCTTCACTGTGACTGGCGCCTGACAAATGTGCACTTGGGCATGCACAGCTCTGGGTTAGCGTAGCTCTCATGGAATCAGAGCAAGATCATTTTAGTGGCTCTGTGGAGCACAAGAAGAAGACTGTAGTGCTGAGACTGAGTCTCTCAGAGCCCGTTCCTTAAAAGGGCTCCCATTCCAACCAACTTCCCACGAGAACCACAGAGGCACCAGGAGCTCTCAGCTGACAAAGGCCACCCTTGGAGCAGAGCAGCGTTTCCTGCCACATGCGTGGCTCCAGCACCACGCTGGCTCACGGTGAAGGAGCCGGCTCCTGAGCGAGCCCTTGCTGTGCAGGCACTCCTGCGGCAGCACATCGTATCGCATCCCGGGAACAGCTCCTGCTGCTTTTACTGTATCTAGTACAACTCAAGTGCTAGTTCCTCCATCTAACAAGCCTCTTAATGGATTTGCTACTCTGCATACACATCCTTACCCCTGCTGTAAGTAAGCCAAGGAATAAATTGACTCTCAGGCTGTAAACAAAAAAGAAAAAGCCCCACAGAGCTCATCCAGGAACCCCAGCTGAGCATCCCCCGCCCCTAAACCATCTCACGGCAATTCTCAGGACCAGCAGCTCCAAATGTGCACAGCTTCCCATTTAACACACGGAAGGGGGGAAGCCCTGATCCCTGCTGTAGTGGCAAAGGGAGTACAGAGGCATCCCCGGGTTTTCTGCCCGCTGCAAGGGGACATCGCCGTGACAGCCGGCGTTTGACCCTGCACAAATACCTCCTCTGCACCTCCGTGGGGCTGGACTCGAACAAAGCGTGGGGGATTCCCCTCACACACTCACTTCCCTCAGGTCCCTGAGCCGGCTCAGACGGCCCGGGCACCCCCGCTCGGGGCTGACGGCCGCGCTGCCACCGTCCCGTACCCAGCTCCGGGCGGCGCTCCCGCCGGCTCCCAACTTGGGCAGCACGGACGGCCGGGGGCGGGAGAAGGCAGCGCCCTGCCCGCCCGGGGCGCGGCGAGCCCGGAGCCCCATTCCCGGGCGGGGGCAGCCGTCCGCGGCTCCCAGTGTCCCCCCCTGGTTCCCGGTGTCCCGCCCCGGTTCCCGGTGTCCCCGCCGCCGGTACCTGCCAGGAGGCGGATGTCGGCGCGCGCCGTGTCGCGACGGAGCGCGCGCACCACGAGCGCCACGGTGCTGTCCTCGCGCAGGGCCTCGGCGCGCGGGCTGCGCTCGTCGTACACCACGACGGCGGCGTAGAGCCCGGCCCGCAGCCGCGCCCGCACCTCGCCCTCGGCCGGCAGGATCTGCTCCAGGCTCACGGCGCCCTTGGCCCGCCGCCGCACGATCGTGTTGCAGCGCACGTTGAGCGCCCCGCGGATGTGCCCGGCGCTGTGCGCCAGGAAGGGGCGGCAGTCCAGCACCAGGCACCGCGCGGCGCCGCCGGCCCCGGCCTCGTCGCGGCCCACGAGCCGGCGCAGCGCGCTGCCCTCCATCTCGCGCAGCCCCTCGGTGGCCACCATGGCGGGAGGGGGCAGGGAGGGAGCGAGCGCCCGCCGGGCCCCGCGCCCGCCGCCCGCGCCGCTCGCGCACCCCCGCGCGCGCCGCGCGCAGCCTTTACTACCCGGCGGCGGCCGGCGCGCGCCCCCGCCCCGCCCCGCCCCGCCCATCCGCCGCGCGCCTGGGCCGCATGAATGGAGGGGAGGCGGTGCGCGGGCCCGGCGACGTCACCGCCTCCATTCACAAAAAAAGAAAACCCGTCCGCGCCGCCCGCCGGCCGCGGGCTGTGAATGGGGGAGCGCGGCGGCCTTTGTCACCGCGGGCAGCGCCTGTCACCCCCGGGCCGAGCCCGCCGCGCGCGCCGAGGGGCACACGCGCACGTGCACATGCCGCGGGGCACGCGCCCAGCAGGCGACACACACACACACACACACTTAGGCACACAGACACACAGAGTCAGGCACACGCAGATACACACACACACAGAGACACTGTCAGGCACATGCAGACACACACACACACACACACTTAGGCACACAGACACATACACACACACAGAGTCAGGCACACGCAGACACACACACACACACAGAGACACATACACACACACACATACACACAGACACACACACGCACACACACACACGCAGAGTCAGGCACACGCCGCGCACACTCTGCTCCTTTGTCCCCAGGCTCCTGTTCCGCCCGGGCCGCCTGCCGCGGCGGGGGACGCTGAGCAGGGCCCGCCGCCGGCCCCGCAGGGTTCCCCTGGGTCCTTCTGGCTGCGTATCTCTCATGGGCACGCTCCCCCTGCCAGAAAACGGCATCTCATTTGCTGCAAAGCCCTGAAACCACTGCAGCACCCTGCCTGTGATGCGGCTCTGTGGAGGGGGCTCCTCGATTTCATTCCTCACATAGAGGAATTCTATTTTCGGCTAAAAGCCTAAGGAGTAAATGCACAGCCCTAGAGGGTTTCGGGAGGGTCTCCCCATAACCACCACCCAAACACCGAGCCATCATTTCACCCCAAAGTCCCCTTTGGGACTGCTTTCAAACAGAAGCAGTGTTGCAAACCACAATGCCAGCAACCGTGCTCAGGGCATTTCCTGCAAACAGATGTCGGCCAGTCCCAGGTGAGTCTGCTTCAGAGACCTGAGGTGTTCAGCTATCCCCGTGTGTACCCAGATGTGGTGGGTGTAAGGTTGGGGGCACAATGGTTATTCAAGCCCATCTGCCCCATCACTGCTTTTCACAGAGGGCAGCACCTGGAGAGCAGCTCGGCTTCCCTTCCTCCCTGCGTGCCGCTCGCTGTTTGCCCGGGCACGGCCGGGTAACACCTGGCTCTGTGTGTGTGTGAGAGTGCCTGGGAGGAATCCAGCCGCACACACGTGCAGGACCTGCAGCTGGGCACACTCCCGCCTCCTGCACACTCTGCTCTCTGACCGCTGCTGCTGCCTTCTCCCCTCGGCCTGAGTCAGCCCGAGCTTTGCTCTGGTGTCTCTTGTGCCGTGCCCAGCCGAGCCAGATGAGCTGGGGGAAACACAGCTGCCATTCGTGCCATACACCCCGCTCCAGGAATGCAACGGGGCTGGAAGGCTAATCGTCTCCCATCCCAACCTGCGCCAAACACAAGAGCAGCAAAACCCTTTTTCTGCTGAAGTAAAGCAGACTCTGGGTAGCCAGCGACATAGCAGAGACATTCTTTCTTCCTTTGGAGAAAGCTGTCAGAGACAAAAAACTCAAACTGAGAACTTGATTACAAATTAATGGAAAATTATGCAACCACACCAACAATACTTGAACTCATGCTGGATCATCAAAACATCTTTAAAAGTTTTGGGCAAGGCCTGATGCCAAAATATATTGTTTTCTTTTTTCCTCTTGGGGAGATGTTGGCCATCACCCCAGGATGAGCTAGCCTGGTGTCTCTAGTGCCCTCTGCACTATCCATTCCAGTTTGTACACTAAAATCAGATAAGCAAGGGCACAAAGTGTATGTCCTTTGAGGTAAGCCTATAATCTTAATTTTTCCCTCTCTCATCCAGCATGTGACTGGGACCAACTGCTCTGAGGTGGGAGAGGAGGGCAATATTGTCATGGGTGCAGGAAGGGGCATTGGGACTGATGTCTCTGGATGTTTGCAAGATCACTGATGAAGGACATCATTTCAGAGTGGAGTGTGGAAGGATGTGTGTGCATGTGCATCTGGTGGAGATTTTCAAGTATTTCCATGTGCCTGAACCCTTTCCCCACTCTTAATCCTTTCCTGCTGTCTACCTAGATGTGGCAGGTTCTTGGCTCTTTCTTCCTGGTCAATAATCTGCTGGGAATGCCACTGTGCACCCACACTGGGCATTGTCACTGCTGTGCTCCCGGCTGGTCACCTCTGGAGCTGTGCTGTGCTGGGGCTGCCGGCTCACAGACATGTGCAGAAATGGAACCCAAAGGTGAGAGTGCCCAAAATGAACCAAGTCAAGGCCAGGAATCACTGCTGGAGGAGAAGAGGGATCTCCCTCACTGCAGTTAGCCCAAGAGGAGATCTAATTAACCTTATTTATAGAGGTTTTAAGATAGCAGTCATCAAAAATGCTTGTAAGGCAGAAGGCACAAGTCAAAAGAAGCAGCACAGCTATGTGGGGCGGAGGGGCAGTGTGTATGGAAAGGATTGGGGAAAGGATTTGGGATTGGAGGAGACCCCAGGGCTCCATGCCTGACTTTGTAAGCCCAAAGAAGTGTGAAAGCTAATATTCTTGTCAAACAGCACCCGTATGGTGCAAACTGAAATATATCCCACTGGAAAACAAACAACCAAAAGAAAAGAGAGAGAGAGAGCAAGAGACATTCATTTCCTTTGCAGCAGAGTCAAGGAATCATCTTTTATAGGGGCCTGGCCAGAAAAGGCAATTGTTGAAAGGGTTGAAGGGAAATGAATTGTCAAAGGAGGCACATATTTGGATGATTAAATGTCAATATGTACCTTGAATTAAGAAAAAGGAATTTACACCTCATCTCACTGTGGCAGTGAAAACCAAATTAGAGTCAGACTGTAAATTTGCCAGCCAATAGATGCCAATTTGTTGGGCTACCTAAAGGCTTTTTCTGGCCAGAGAAATGCCAAAGCAGAAGTTCCCCTGGGTGGGCAATAGTAGCTGTGGGCAGCTCTAAGCTGCTGGCTCTGTGAGCCCTCTGGGCTTCTCCAGCTTTTCCTGGTTCTGCTCCCCCAGCTCCCGGCCCCAGCGTGCACTCAGGGAGTCCTGATGTCTGTGCCAGGCTGCAGGTCTCAGCCACCTGGCTGATGTGCCTGCCTCTGTGCCACTGGGCAGGAACACCGGCCAGGACGTTGCTATCCTGAGTTTTCCCAAGAGCTTGACTCCCTCCATGCTCCTGGTCAGCTGTGGATGGACAGAGGTACAGAGCACAGAGCTACATCCTCCCTACTCCTGGCATGTGACAGAAGCTGCAGCATAAAGAGGCTGCCACCTTTCCCTGGCTGCTCCCAGGGGCTGGCCAAAGGGTTGAGTGGTTTGCCCTGGCATGTGCGGGAAGCCTTTGGCAGAAGTGAAAGGCAGAATCAAGGTCTCAGCAACTTGCAACTCTGCACTTACCGACAAAACCCAGCTCTCCTGGAGTGCCACAGGGGCATGGTTCCCTTCTGTCCTCTTGGAGCACCCTGCAGCTCTCCTTTCATGCAATCTCCCTTCCTCACAGCTTTCCAGGCTGGGGAATGCACCCTCCTGTCCACAGAGGGAAGTGCAGCAGTGAAAGAGTTAAAAGATTCATGTTAATAAATTCAGGCTGTCTTTTCCTCTGGGGCATATTTACATATTAATGGATGGGAATTGTAATGAACCTGTCTAGGGAGGCTAAAGGGGAAATTATGCAAGGCTAGCTGAGAAGGTGGAGGAGGGGGAAATGTTCATTTTCAGTGCTTTCCAGCCCCTCAGCTGCAGAAGCATGTGACCAGCCTGGGCTCCAGGGCAGCGCCTTGCCTGGCGTGGGACACCCCAGAGTGAACACAGATCCAGAGGGCAGGAGCTGTCTGGGCCCTCCTGCATCCCTCCTGCACTGGCTTCTCACTGCTAAGCTCCACACTGTCCCAGATGTTATTTTAAGCCCAGGGTGACAACAGCATATTTCAGCAAGCATGTCCCAAATCATCACCCCTCCTCCAAGGCAGCTCTTGGTGGGCAGTCCCAAGAGCAGCTCAACCACAGCTCGTTTCCAGCAGACAATCTCTCAGGGCCTTTCAACAACACTGTGTGTGCTTGCAGCAAGAGGCAAGGGAGCCAAGGAAGGGCGTTTGTTCCAGGCTGGGCTGCAGTGCTTCCCTATCCCATCCCTGCTCCCTCACACCAGGCTGCTTGAGCCCTGCCACAGTCTTTGCTGCCTCAAGCCCCAGAGCCCTCTGCGTGCAAACCCAAAAGCCTTTGACAGCCCATGAAAAATGCCAGGAGCTTTGCCAGCTCTGCTTTCTCTGCTCGCTGCTGAGCCTCAGTGTGCAATCCCCACTCCAGCCCTACAGATTTTATCTCAAGAAGAACAAATAATCTGTTGCTTTTGCCCTGCAATATCAGATAGAGCTATAAATCACTAGATAGGAGCCTAATTACTGGGCCTCTGATCTGATTTAGATTGGAAGATGGAAAAAGCAGCCTTTATTTCTGAAAGCAAAGGAGCACTTCTTCAGAACACTGATGGGTCCTCTATGTACCTCAATAGCTACAAATGGTTTATGCCCATGCAAATGAGATCAGGGCAGGACCCACTCAAATTAGCAGGATACAAAGTGGCTTGCAGATTTTCTGTTGCAGATTTGGTTTCTCCCCCTGCCCCCTCTCTCTCTCTCAACCCCCTTCTTTTGGCCACTGCTTTATCTCTGCTTGTAAAAGTCAGTGCAGCTCCAGTTGCTCTGGGTGAGAAACATGAGGTCTGATCCAGCATGGTCAGTGAATGCAAGTAAGATTTTAAGAAGATCAATGGCTTCTTCTAGGTGAGGGTTGTTCTGCAACAGGCCTAAATGCTG